CCACATGTGGCCAGGAGCTACTGTATTAGACAGCTCAGATATAGAGCTTTTTCATCATTTTGGAAAGTTCTATTAGACAGCCTTGAACTAAAAGATCATCTATTTCTTAGACAACAAGTTTTTTGTTAATCCAAAAATACATATTTTTTCCTGGTCACATGCATTTCATGGTAATAAAAAGTAACTGGACTTGATGTCAGATCTAATGTGCAGAACAATGAAACGGTGAATGATTTATGTTAAGTAACTAGTATACCTAAACCATGATATATCCTCAAATAGTAATGTGTAAGTGTATATCCACATTATTTTTGGGGGAACACAAGTTAACATATGTTGTGCAGCTACTTTTGAGGAAAAATCACAACTTTAATAAAGCATAAAGAAGACCCTTGGTGTTTAATGCATATTCCTGCCACAGGGAAATTTGGAATGAAAAGAAAGGGCAGGAAAATCCATTCCCAGAGTAGTAACTCAAAAATGCATCAAGTGGCTCTAAGTTTCTTTAAAAGTCTCCTTAAAAATAATTACAGAAAGCCCTTTCTAATTCCATTAGTATAATAAAGGCACTCAGTCACCTTCTAATTTGTTTTAAATGAACCAGGAATCACTTAGTAACATGAGTACTTTGATCAATACTCTTCAACTATAATAACACTAAATATAATCTGTTGTGAATGGTTATTATATTACTATACTGCCTGGTTTAACTGATTTAGAATACACTTCAGAATATTCATGATATATAACTCCAAATGCATAATATATGTTTGGTCACATATTTGATTAAATAGCACCTTTGGTGTTTCTAGTCAAAAAAAAGTATCACACTCCTCTTGGTTAGGAATACAAATTCATTTATGATGGTGTTTTATAAGACAATTACTACATTTGTCTTATAAAACAGATATGACATACTTAGATTTACAGAATTTCACACAGCATGATAACCAACAAAACTGCAAAGATTACTTAAAATACTTCTTTAGGATATAAATTTTTAAAGCAGAACATTTGAGAACTACATACCACTTAAGTACATTTACTTAAGCCACTACACGAGGAAACAAGAGGCACTCTAGTAGAGTGGTTAGGGCCACGACACAGGAGCTAGTCACCCTAGGCCTATATCCCTAACCCATCACTTACAACTATCTGATCATAGGCAAGTTACTTTACCCTTCTATGCCTACATTTTCTTCTTTATTAAAAAATGGAGGAAAACGTTGTACTAACTCATCAAAGCAAAGTATTCTGGAACATTGCACCTATTCTGAAAGAAGTGCAGTAAAATGGAAGCCTGCTAAATAAGAGTGGAAGCACTTTTCACACTCATTTGGCTTAAAAAAATTGCACTCACTTATTAGATTGCTGCAAAGATTAAATAGGTTAATACATGTAAAGCAGCACATAATAAACCCTTTATTATTAGTGCTTGTTATTTTTTTATTGCTAATAATGTAGGGAGACAAGAACATACACATAAATAAAGGAGATTATTCTGGATAGTGATAAATGCTTTAAAAAAAATGAAAAGGAGTTCCAGTTCTACTAGAATGGTGTAAACCCCTTACAATCCTTCACTCCTACTAATTACAACCATGAACTCAGAACTAAATTCAAAAACCCAAACAAAACAAAAACTATCCAAGGGTTCTGAAAAGTAAAACTGCAGATGGATTATGGAAGGGATTAAAACTTGGAGAAGCAACCAGCATGGGGATGGGTTTTGCATTTTCTTTTTCCTCTCATGGCTTTGCCCTGAGGGTGGAAAATAACGTATTACACATAAGGGAACAGATTCTAGTGTCCACAGATTTGTCATCAGAAACGAAGGAGGCCAGAAGAAAGTAAAACAACATCTTTAAAGAAGTGAAAGAAAAGCACTGGCAACCCAGCTGCCGGTTGCCAAAATTCTATTTGTAGTGCAAATATCTTTTAGGAATGAAGGAAAAAATACAGACATTTTCAGATGAAGGAAAACTCACAGGATTTGTCACCAGCAGAACTGTTGTTTATGTTATGTGCAAAGTCTATACTATGTGAATTCCTAGTAAAGAAAAGATCCCAGAGTGGTAAATTTAAGCTAATAAATGGTTTCTACTAATTAGGGGTTGATTTCAATTTGTGGCAAATTCCACATCTCTTTTAAGGAATTTTTAAAAATTATAATGCATATAAACATCTTCCTAGAAAAATGTTCTATATTTATATGGGTTCAGTTTTAAGGAAAAGTTCTATGTAGTTTAAGTAGGAAAAAGCACATTGGATGTGTCTTGAATAAATGACCATGTAAGTCTCTAAGAACATGTTAAATTAAAATTATTTTAGCTTTCCTAGAATGTAAAATTTATCAAAGTATAGAAGCCTCACCTCTTCGATGCCAAAGGGGGAGAAATTGTAACTATCATGCATATAAAACAAATTTTAAAACCTTTTATTTTCACAAACTACTGATTTATCTAAATAAACCACTATATAATCTGGATAAAAAATGAATTTAAATAAAAAAAATTTAAAATAGACTCTTAGGTTTTGACAAGATGGCCAACTATTAATTAGACATCTAAAAAGGCGCCAAAGAGAGAAAATCACCTCACACTTAACTTGGTTGTTAGAATCAAATGAGGTCACATAATGTATGGTTTCTAGTCTATGATTTATGTCATTGTCAAGCAATCAAAACTGGAACATAAGAGAATGATAGAAATACTCTTCCTTATTTTAGAGAGAAATACTTATTGTGAGAATGTGTCCTGGTAACTAGCTGATAAAAATATCATACAATAAAATCAATTTTTTAATCTTTCACATATATTTTGTTAATCACTCATTTGATATCAACTGAAAAGCAGCCAGATAATTCAGATGATACACTGAACAGAAACAAAAACAACAGCGTTTTTAAGGCTAGTCAATTTCATTGATTCTAACATCAAAAATTAGTATCAAATTGGAGCATTTCACTACCTTCACTTCATGTCTTCCATAGATTCTTCCCTAACTTCATTTGTACAAGTTGTTAAAAGGATATTCTATTTCATCATTTGTTCATTCAATAAATATTTGCTGAGTGCCTACTTATACTTAATGAGCCAGGCACTGTGCTCAGTGCTAAACAAGACAACATACAGTTCCCTCATGGAGTCTGGTAATGGAAAGAAATTAAACAGATGATCACACAAATATTTAATTACATTAGAATAAATGCAGTAAATGAAAAGGAAAGTGTACACTGAGACCCTATAATGGGGGCCTACCCCTGTTCAAGGATTACAGGAAGGACTTCTGGAGGAAGTTACATTTAAATGCTTCATCATCTATATATCCCAGGCATCTATCAAAGGGTATAGCACATAGTATAAACTCAATAAAAGTTTGTGAAACTGAATTAAATAATTGCTTTAATGGTAATTTCTCCAATGTGTGCCTTAGTGCCTATTACAGTGTTTTGCACAGTACAGGTAGCTAATATGAATTTGTTGAATAAATAAATTAATGAAGCAGTTTGCTTCAGTGAAAAGAACTCAGGCTTTGGAATCAGACAGTTCAAATGCAGGCTGTACTACAAACCAGCTGACCCTTGGCTTACTCTTAAAGATAGGAATAATATATTTATGTTATAGGCCTGTGCAGAGGATTAGGTACAAAGCATATAAACCACCTAGCACAGTGCTGAACAACTGGAAAGAGCTCACTCAATGATCACTAATAGTATTATTTTACTCATCATTTGCAGAATTACTAAAGGAGAACCTTGACAGCAAAGTCAAGCGAAGTCAAAAAGATTTAAACAGAATACCCTAAAGACATCTCCTGTGTGGAAAGAGTTTGAAGATACACATACACGCAATAACGAGAGAGTTAAGGATTAGATTCCCGGGCATAAGCCAGACATAAGCTTGGATTTTCATGAAGCTATCTGGCCAAAGAGCCAATAAAGAGATAGGACTTTCAAAGTACAGAGGGTAGTATCTGTGGAAAGATTAGCTGTTTTGTGTAGATTAAGCAATGAGGACGTGCTGTTCTCTCTAGACTTACTGTGTAAATCCTACAAACACTTCCGAGGCTCTATCATGTGAAATACTGTTCTATTCACTGGAGATGGAGCCCTTGCTTTTGAGGGGCTAACTGCGCTAATGACAGAATTACACAGCAGGTGCTACAGCAGAAGATGCTTCAGCACTTAGTCTGGTCTTGATATTTAAGCAAGACTTCTTAAAAGAGAAGACATCTGAACTAAGGTCTTAAGAATGAGTGAGAGTTATTCCATATGATGAGGTAAAGGACATATTGTTTTATGAATAAGTAATAGCAGAAAAGGCAAGGAAGACTTAAATTGCATAAAAAGAGTGCCAATCTTAAACAGTCAGTCTGCTAGCGCTAGAACAGTACAGTGGAGTGGGAAGAATTTAAGTGGAAGAGATAGGGAGAAGCCAGGTCATGAAGCCCGGAAACAATTAGATAGGAGATAGTATGTCAAATCTAAGAAGCTTTCCGGAGCGTAGGTAGAAGAAACTGTATAGGGGAGAGCAAAAAGTAATTTTTTTTTTGTTTTTCTATTTGGATCAAGACTATCTATAAGTACCCAGAATTAATGACTTTTCATTAGATGATATTCTCGGCTTAATGAAGCAGTCTGGAAAACAGAGAATCACTATGTTTTAGGTAATGACACTTCATTTATCATTCCAAGAGACTACAGTCAATCCAAGTAATGTCATCCCAAACAAAATATCTGACAATTATAGGCACCCATAAACACCCTTGCACTTACCTAGCAGAGTCTTAAGACTTCGAGACTTTTGGTTCTAACACCTACATCTAGAGTTTATTTGCAAGTAGAAGCTGCAAAAAGTATCCAAGGGAGTAAAAAAAAAAGTTCACTCTTCCTACCCTCAATGATCTTGTCATTTGGTTAAGGAAACAGGGGATACTAAATTCAGCTTAAAAAACAAAAAAATAAAAACAAAGACAGGAAAGAGAAAAGAAAGACTTACGGAGACCACACTCTTGGGAAAGCCTCTATTTCTTCTTGTGTGTACTCATCTAGACGTCTGGGCACTTTCCGTGGTTGAGGAAGCTCTTCCACTAAATTCTTAAGAATATCTTCCGGTATATCCTAGGTTACATAAAAATTTAGGCTTAATTTTCTTAAAATATATTCCTTAGTAATACTTAGTAATAAAAGATAACAAACAAAATAATATTTATAGAATGAGGAAAACAATATACTCTTTAAGTTAAAACTTTCTGAAAATCCCTGAAAAGTACATTAAATCAATGATATAAGTAATCTCATTATAATAATACACTCTATATTTTAATCTTGAAAAATGTATTTCTCATGATAAATTAGACATCTTCAATTTTGACAACTATCAAGTCACTAAGTTCTATCTACTCTTTCCAAATACTGTTTAATTTATTCCCCTCCTTTCAACTACAAAAAGGCACTGCCTTGGCTCATTCTCATAATTTTTTATCTGATGAGTGTATGTACGTACTGGGTCTACTGCTTCCAGTGCCACAACCTTTCAATCCATACTCCATGTTGTTGCCAGAAAAAACTTACAAAAATGAAAATCTGATGGATCTTTGAGTCATTTAGCCAACAAACATTTCTTGAACTCCTTCCATGAACCAGAAATTGTGCTAGGTGCTGAGTATATAAAAGAAAATAAAAAGATCATAGCTTCTAAAGGCTTGCAATTTTTAAAAAGTTACTCCTGAAACCAGTGTCCTCACTTCCAGCCCACCTCTCCAACTTCACTTCACACGCACACCCACAGCTTCTGAGTTATCAGCCTCCTCGCCTTTCATGCACTGGTCTACACTCAAATCCTGGTGCCTTTATTAATGGTATTCCCTCTGCCCAGAACGACTTTCCCCTGGTTATATATCCAAATGTTTAGAAAAATGAAAGAAAAAGTAAAATGCAAAAAAATCTGAGTTTAGGTAATGAAAAGCAAACTAATGAGTAAAACATATATTTGAGAGATATTTTAAAAGAAGAAAGAACAGGAATTGAACAAATAAAGGGAATGGTAAAATGAAGAGCACGAGTAACCAAAAGAATTAACATTTATATCGTGCTCATGATACAGAAATAAGGGAAAGGGAATTAATTGTATTGTGAGTCTGGATGATAAGTAAATTTTGGAGACTCTATTGAAATAATGGTAAGATATCAATATGGAAGTGTCCTATGGGCATTTCCACAGGGACAGTAGATATAATTCCCTCTTTTCTTTATAGGGTGTTCCTAGAAATTAAAAAAAAAAAGATTATTATACAGTAAATTACAGTTCTCTGCAGAGAGCACATTATAATTGAGAATCAAATACCTGGGCAAAGACGTGGCATGAAATAAGCCATTGTTTTGACCAATGAATGTCTTAAGAATCAAGATACAATTTTAAAATAGCTTTAAAGAATCACAGAGCTCTACTGCATTGTAGCCTTGTTCTAAAATCTATTATGGCAAAATTTTAATAATATTTTTTAAAATTTAAGTTGACATTTTAAAATTATGGTTTGGACAGGCTGAGTCACTATTAACATATACAAAACACAATCAATAGTATTGACAATGTGTTTCTTGACTGAAAAGCATTTTAAAAATATTTAATATCCCTTCCCCAGTATTCAAGCCTGCAAATATAATTATACAGAATCAGAACAAGCAGAGGATGCTTGGATAGATGAAATATTATTAAATGACTCTTATTTTTTACTTCCTGAAGGAGCCTACCTGCCAAAGTTTGATATTTATAAAAATTTATGAATATGTCATACTTCTTTGGGAAGCCATTAAAAAATCTCTAGGTTACTTGCAAAGACAACTTCCAAAGTTCCAAGTGTTCACTCAGCATAGAGGGTGTGGAACATAGTGGATTCTTAGTAAATGTTTGCTGAATTGATAGAACTTTGACTGAAATGAGCTTACCAATTTCCCCACTATTAGAAGAATTCACTCAAAGAACGAATAAAATCAATGCAAAAAGAGAAATGAAAGTTGTTGATTAGGCATTACACATGAAACCAGGAAGGGGGAAGTGCAGCCTTTAACCTGCACACAGAGAATATAACCCAGAAATGCTAACTGAATGTGTTCATGGAGATTTAAGAGTCCTCGGCACAGAGGGGGTGGTTAACCTAAGAGGGGAGTAAGCAAAAGAGTAAGAGGAGAAAAAAGAAGCATGGAGGTGAGGTGACCATTTACTTTATTACTACCTTTTAGTATTTTTTAAAGAAATTTCAAATCTACAGAAAAGTTGTGCAAATACAGTGAACACTCATCTAACCTTTACCTAAATTCACCAATTGTTAAAATATGACATGTTTGCTTTCTCTCTTTTTAGCTATATACAAACACATGTACATAAACACTTTCTTTTTGGCTGAACCATTTGAGTAATTTGCAGTTATTTCACCCCTAAAAGTTTCAGGATATATCTAAATATAAGGATTGTCTCCTATGTAACCTCATTACAAATTCATGTTCAGGAAAATTAACACTGATGAAATACTTGTTATCTAATATACAGCGTATATTCAAATTTCCCAAACTGGCCTAATAATAATGTCTTACATATCTTTTTTTCCAATCCAAGATCCAGTCAAGGATGACAGGCTCCATTTAGTTATTATATTATGTTGTTGTTATGTTGTTTAACATGCATAATATTTTCTTTAGTCTAGTCTCCTTTAATCTGAAGAGTTCCCTTGCTTTTTCTATCTTTAATGAAATTAACACTTTTAAAAAGGGTACAGACCCGTTATGTTGCAGAATGTTCTTTTATTTGGATATGTAGTATTGTCTCCTCATGATTAGATTCAGGTTAAATATTTCTGGCAGGGCAGTATGTAGATTATGTTGGGTCTTCAGTGCTTCAGTCATAGCAGGAGGCACATGATGTCAGTTTGTCCCATGTTGATGACACATTTGATCTCTTGGTTATGGTTGGTGTCTACCAGATATCTTTAATGTAAAAGTATCTTTTCCACTTTCAAATAGTAAGTAAGTACTCTGTGGCATGATGTTTTGAAACTGTGAATATCCTGTTCCACATAATCTTTTACCCGACGACCATAGAACATGCTGATAATGGTCACTTTTCTAACTCAGTATTATTTCCATAGTTTTTTAGATGACATTTTTCTCTAAAGAAGAGCTTTTCTTTTTCCAGAAAGGAGAAGGGAAATTATAACAAGTTAAAAATCATTTTTAGACTATCATCATGGGCTCAAAGACTTTTGTTTCCTATTCAATGTAATCCATTATTATTACCACTCATTTTGTGACTCACACAATCCTACAGTTGGCCAGTGGGCACCAATTCAAGCTGCCTCATATGTTCTCTTGATATTCCTCCATTGGTTTTTGAGCACTGCCTCACCTTCTGTTACTTATTTTTTTTTTTTTTTTAATTTTTTGTTTATTGCAGTAACATTGGTTTATAACATTGCAAAAATTTCAGGTGTACATCATTGTACTTCTATTTCTGTATGGACTACATCATGTTCACCACCAAAATACTAATTACAACCCATCACCACACTGTTACTTATTATTTTACTATTTGCATGTGTATACTCCCTAATAATTTTGCTCTTTCTCTGCTCCAGACCTAGAATCAACCACTTCTCCAAGGAGAACCAGGTTCCTTTGAACAGGGAATAGCATTTAGAAAGCAAGATCTGGGCACTTGTTGTACTTACTTCTATGGGTGCTGTCATTTTAGTTTTTAAATATATAAAATCTTAACATGATAAAAAAGTTAAAGTAAAAAAATCAATAATCTAAAAGTCATTCTCCAAAAAAATCTCATTCTCTTCCCTATTCCTTCCACCTCCTTGTGCCCATGCTCCAGTAAGCAGCCAACTTCATTTTCTCATTTATTCTTCCTGTGTTTTTTTATGCAAAAAGCAGATATAGTATTTATACTGTGTGTGTAAACATACATATGAGTATATGCATACAAAAGGTAGTATGCTATCTATATTCTTTTTCACCTTGCTTTTTTTTACTTAACAATATACCCTGGAAAGCATTACTTATCAAGTCACAACAACATTTGTCATTCTTTTTTTTATAATTGCATAATACTCAATTGAATGGATATAACAGTTTATCCAATTTCCTATAAATGAGCATTTATTTGTTGATATTATTTTACTATTATAAATAATGTGGAAACAATAATCTTGTGTATCTTCAAAGTAAATTGCTATAAATGAGATTTTTACTGGATCAAGTACGAATCTCCTTATGTATATATTTTGTTATATGTTACCTAATTCCCAGATTCCTTATGGGGTGTACAATTTGTACTCCTACCAGCAATGTGTAAGTGCCTGATTCCCCAGGGCTTTGACAATAAAATATGTTGTCAAGCTTTTGAATATTTAACAATCCGTTTTTGGAGAAATGGGCTCATTTTTTTTAATAGTCTAAAATTATTTAAGTAATTTACTGTTCAAGTGAACTACCATGAATACTTAAAAACATCCACATTCAAACCTGACTACCTTATAACTGGGATAAATAATACCATTATTTTTTGTGTCTTTTAGAAATTATGGTTTCTAAAAACAGTGACAGTACAATTAGAACTAGGAATTTTAAAATTCTTGTGATTTCATGAAGGTCATTTATCCTTAGATGATGATATTGCTTCCATACTTGTTACCTCAGAGGTAAAGTGAATAGTGGAAAATTATTCTACTCGTTCATGCAAAGCAATGGTAATAAATTAACCATTTTTATAAAAGTATGAATAATTTACTCATGTGTTGTTTAAGCTAACAATAGAGCACACAAGTGGTTTGGATAGTTGATATAACTTGATATTCTGGAATGACTTTCTACACTATTCCTCTAGTAGGAACTACAAGGACAACAATCATAACCATGGTGATGACAGCAACTAGCACTTAGTGTGCCACGCCCTGTGCTAAGCACTCTACAAATGTTATCTCATTTAACTCTTACAACAATCTTACAAAGTAGGTACTATTATTACACCCATTTCACAGATGAGAAAACAGAGATAATAAATAACTAGCCCATGGCCATGAAGTCAGTAAATGGTGGGGCATGGATTCTAATCCAGATAGTCTGATTCCAGAGCCTGCACTCAACTATTTTATTATAGAACCTCTAGTGTTGCACTGTATTACACTAAAGAGAAAAGGTAAGTACTTAAAATAGTACAATAGTAATAAAAATGTTTATACTTATTTTCAAGTACTTTTTTAGCTGAATAATTTTGAGTACCAACAAGTATTCTAAAGTTAAATCATGGGAAACAATTAGCAACCAAACCTAACGATTCACAGAAGTTTTGCTACTGGTCACATACCAAGTAAACTAAATTTATACTTTTTTATAGTTGATGAAATCATCAATGACTACCCTCAATTTAACAAAAGCTCTGATCATAGTTCCTTGTTCAAAAGAAAGCAGTTATTAAAATGAAAAAACAGAACTCACAGATTTTTAATTTTTGGTCTAATGATGGCTCACTTTATGATTTAAAATAAGAGCAATTGTTATTATGATGTGATCACTATAAAATACAGAAAATATTTCAGAAGTTGACTCATGAAATTATTGAAACTGAGTCTATGGCAATTATTTTAAAAGGAGAGAAAGTATTTAATTGAAAATCTAGGAAAAGCACCATTACAACGACCACTGACTTACCTCATCTGGGAAAAGATGCAACCTCTGCATCATGGTTCTTCTGTGAAGGTTTTTTGGCAGCATGCCATAAATAGCCAGTTTTACAATCTGAAAAACAGATATGTGTAGGACTCAGTAAGAAAAATATGACTTGAGATACAAAGAAGGCAAACATAATTAGAGATGGTGATCAAAACGAATGGGCTAAAATTCAACATGAATATGAAAGGAAAGAAACTGAGACCTAAGTAGATATGACAGCAACAGAAAAGGAGCTTTTATTATTTTGTACATTACTATTTTCTTTAGGCTCTATTTGTTTAATTTATTTTTATTTAGAAAAAGGACAAAAGGAAGAGATTAAAAATAATCTATGTATATGCGAATTTTAGCCAGAATAAAAAGAAATTCTCCAAGCTTATACAAGAACCTGTGGCTCAAATAATCTCTCACATACTGATTAGAGCAGAATGTAGGGAGGCTTTAATCCTGTTTCCTCCAGCTAGGAGATCAGGTGGTTTCCAATTCATAAACTAAGCCTGACCATATAGTTATGAGACTGACTCCGTAAATCACAGATTTGCAACAATGTTGATGATTAAAATTCACTGAAAATTTACTACGTGTACAGTGGTCAGTGCATCACATTGTTATCTTGTTTATGATGCTAAGTCTCATTTCACAGATGAGGAAACAGATTTAGTGAGGTTAAAGACCTCCCCCAGTTTCATATATCTAATAACTGGTGGTGCTGAATTCAAACCAGGCAGTCTTACTCCCAGAACAGACACATAGTACATGTAATCACATCTATAATGTGTTTCTCTTCATAACTTAACAAGAAGACCAAGTCCATTCTCTCTACCATACCCATTCCCAAGATGGCAAACGAGCCTTTCCATGATTTACTTTTTCCTTTTAAGGTTATCATCATTGTTGGTCTGAACAAGATTTTATGTATCTTTTGTCAAGAGAAGGCCACAGTGTCACCCTGTGCTCCATAATCTCCTAGGGGCCTCCTGATATATAGTGTATACAAATATACTGCAAGCTCCTCATAAAACTACTGATAGAGACTTCTGAAGTATGACATCGATTTTTATCACCTATACTCATATTTCAAGGATATAATAGGACATGTATTAAAGCTAAACCCAGCAAAACAATACATGTTAGAATAGAGTTGCACTATAAGAGAATTTCCTATTCCTTTTATTTTCTCATCAAATCAGACTACAAAACCTTACTATATACAAAAGCTAACGGCATCCCATACATATTTTCCATCTATTTTTTAGGTTATTGCTGTTAACACTTTATGTTCTGGAGACTTTATTTAAATATAGATTTATGTTGCAAAATTAAAAGCAATTAAAAATTCAGTTCTTCAGTAGCACAAGCCACATTTCAAGTGGTCAACTGCCACATGTGGCGAGTGGTTACCATATTTGACAGCGCAGACACAGAACATTCTCATCACGGCAGAAATTTTTATTGGACAGCACTGATCTAGATGTTAGTCTTTAGAATGTTTAACGTTTTAAAAGTCTTACATAGAAACTGACCCAGCAGTTAAGAGTTACGACTACTCAGCATCTTTTCTGAATAGGCAAGTCATTATATCCTCTGAATATCATCCTAATAGCAAGTTTATTGGTTTTTTTAATGGCATTTGGTTTTCATGTTCTTAAAAAATTTTGTTGCATTTACTCAAATTAAAAAGTTGGCATTTTTAAAATTTGACCTATTAAAAAATGCAAGCGTAACACTCAAATTAGGGAGAGCTCGAAAATGTGAAAACGTCACAAGCTGAGGGGAGAGAAAAAGAGAGATTCACAAACATACATACCCCAAAAATAAATGTGACACAACACACACAGGCAATCAAGTAATTCTAGCTGTATAGATTTAAGCATAAACTCTAAGGAATTCAGAAAGTAAGAAAGATAGAAAAAGGTAAGGTTAATAAACATTAAAGACCTTCCTCATATAATCTGTAACCCAGGACATCTGTTTCACACAAAATAATTTTATTAACTATATGAAGGGGGAAAAACATAAGAAAGGAACCATATTAGAAGAACAATATAAGGACACAGAAACTTGTAAAGAAACTAATATATACGACAGAGGGATACAGGATACAAGAAAAGGGCTGAATCAATATATTTGAGTTTAGAATTAATGATCTTCTATGTAATTGTAAAATATTTTTAAATACTTAACCTACTAATAACTATTTAAATATTAATTAATGTATTTTAAAATAATATTTCAAGACTGTGCTAACAATCAGAAGGAAGCATTATGAAACAAATTCTCTTACAAGTCACATACACTTAGTACTGATTAGCAAATTATGTCTGCTGTCAGAAGACCTACTGTTCCAAACACTTAGTGTTTGAACTCTAAGTAAAATAACTGACCTCTTCCTTAAAAAGCCATTCTTTTTCAAAACACAAAGTCGAAATTAAGACTTAAAAAAAAATTAAGATCTTTTAATGAGGTAATAATTCAAATGGATTTAACTCTGAAATATTTTCCAAGCCTTCATCAAACATTTTGTAATGCATTTCAATCTTCATTCATAAAAAAGAATTTGAAAGGATTTCTACAAATGTTATCCAATGCCAAATTCTTAACACCAAAAAGTTGGACTATACTGCCTCCTAGTGTATAGTGAGCATACCTGAATAAAATAGAAACTAATTTTAAAAACATTTAAAAATACTTATAAAATACGAAAACTGTAATTTGTAGTAAAAGTTGTGGTATATATTACCAGCAGTCCTTAAAATTTTTTAATACCATTATATGCAATCCATATTAATCGTCAAAGTAGGATACTTTATTTGATTTGTAACAGTCTAAAAACATATGAGTTATGAAACAGAACATTAAATATTTCTTAAGAAACAATCTCTGAGCATGTTTTTGTAAAACAGATATGAATGATAAAGAGTAAAAATAAACAGTAAACCATGAAACTTCCAAATGTTATGTGAGGCCTTATTATAATAAAATATGCCCCTCCCCCCACCCCTTTACCAAGAAAATTTTAGGCAATACTACTCCAAATGGTTGCATATTGACAACGGATATTTATTTTTATTCACCATTTCAGGGAAATACAAAAGAATGTCTTCACAGTCTAGCACTTTGTTCATTTAAGAATGCATTTAAGTAAAAAGCTAAAATAGTTCCTAATGGGGAAAATGCTATCTATCCTATGAGTATAGTTCAAAGAGTTAAAGAAGGAAAAACTGTGAAATGGCAACAAGAGACTTCGCTTTTAGCAATATTGAGGACTAACATTTGGATTAGAAACCTCTTCCAGTAGTATATAACTCAAATGATAAAGTAATAAACATTTAGTGAAATTAATAATATTGTTTTTAAAAATCTTTTTTAAAGCATGGAACCAACTGGAGGCCAGAAACAGGAGAAAAAACTACAAGAAAAAGAGTCCTAGGGCTGGCATTTGCCCTGCCAGCATCAGCTTAGTGCAGGGGTTGAGTTTTAAAGGACTATGACTTTGGGGTCAGGAAGTAGGATCAAAGATTCCCTCATTAACCTAGATTTTTAACAGAACGGCAACATCCATGATGTAGAGTGGGGAAATAAAAAATAAAAGTCTTTCCTGACAGGTAACCGCTAACTATGAGCCTGACCTCACGTGGCTTTGAGGCCCCAAATCCAGAAGTCTCAGTATAGCTTAAAGAGGTGTTAGTTGGTATAGCCTCATGTGCCTGCTAGAAGCTAGGTGAACCTTTTCTGAAGAAATTCATTTTTAACATAGGTCTCAAAGAATTCCCAGAGATGAAGTTCCAAGGTACATGAGCTTACTATGACAAAAGAACAGAAAGATTATCAAAACTGACCAGCAAACTTGAAAAAGAAACAAATAGTAAAACTGCAAGAAAAGAAAAAAATGTAATAACTGAAATTAGCAACTCAATAAAAGGGTTAATTAGATCAGACACAGGTAAAAAGACAGACAACTAGATCATAGATGTAAAGAAATTACGGACAGTGCAGCACCGAGACAGGGAAATATAAAACATGCAAGATATGTATTGAATCACATACAATAAAATGAGACACTCTACTGTTAAGTATAATCAGACTTCCAAAGGGAAAGAACAGAGACTAAAGGGAGCCAATATTAGAAGACATAGAGCTGACAAATTTTCAGAACTGAAGATACCAATCCTCAAACAAAACAAATAACAAGACTCAAAAAGAAACATATGAAAACCAAAGCCAAAGAAAAGATCTTAAAAATATCCAGACAGAAAAGAGAATATGTTTAAAGAAACAATTAAACTGACATCTGACTTACCAATAACAATAAGGGAAGCTAAAATCTGTTGGAATACTAGCTTCAAAAAGCTGAGAGAAAAAAATGGCTATCCTAGAATTGCATATAGTATAAGTAAAACTCTTTCAAGAATGAGGGCAAAAATAAAGACAGTTTCAGGCAAAAAAGAAGAGTTCACTATTAAGAGAATGTTACTACAGGAATGTCCACAAGAAGTACTTTAAAGAGAAGGAAACTGATCCCAGTAGGAAGGCTGAGTTACAAGAAGGGACTATAAGCAAAGAAAATCATAAAAAATCAGTAACTGAGGGCCGGCCCGGTGACATAGTGGTTAAGTTCAAGTGCTCTGCTTCGGTGGCCCAGGGGTTCATGGGTTCAGATCCTGGGTGCAGACCTAAACACTGCTCGTCAAGCCATGCTGTGGCAGTGTCCCACATACAAAAAAGAGGAAGATTGGCACAGATGTTAGCTCAGGGACAGTCTTCCTCACCAAAAAAAAAAAAAAAAATCACTAACTGTATAAAACAATAGCAAGAATGTTGAATTGGAACATTCTCTGTTCTCTTGAACAGAGAAAGCATATAGATTGGGAGGGAGAGTGGGTGTTAAAAATCTTCTAAGGGCCTTGATTTGATTTAGAGGAAAGTAAAGATATTGACTATTCTTAGACTTCTAATAAATAAATTCAATCAATCCAAAAGAAGCCAAAAAAGAAGGGGCGAAAAAGAAAACAAAATCTAGCTCAGTAAAGTTTAAACTATAAAATGATGTATCAGGCAAACACTATCAAAAGAAGGCTGATATAGCTATAATAATATTAAAAAAAATAGACCTCAAGTTAAAAGGCATTACTGGAGATAAAGAACATACCCTGATCAATTCTTTAGTAAGATTATAATTCCAAACTTAAACTCATCTAACACTAAATCTTCAAAACATACAAAGCAAAAACTGAAAGAACTACAAGGAAAAATTAACAATCCACAATTGATATTTTAACATAACTCTTCCAGGTAATCAATAAATCAAGTGAACAAAAAAAAAGTCAGTAAGAATATAAGACTGGGACAACATACTTAGCATATTTGATATAATGGATATGTAAAAATATATACATACATATATACATACATACATACATTTCTCTTTCCAACACATTTTCAGCAAATACATCATATTCTAGGTGATCACACAGGTGTCAAGAAATTAACAAGAAAGGCAACAAAATTTTTTGACTAAATGCAAAACATTCAAAATAGTAATTAGAAAATATATAGAACCGGATGATAATGAAATACTACTAATCAAAATCTGCATGATACTGTTAAAGTGAAGAATTTATAGTCTTGAATGCTAGCTACATTAGAAGAGAAGACTGAGAAAACAGTGTCTGAACTAGTTTTCCCACAGATGAAGATAAATAAAAAATACAATAGACTTACTGCCACTGGATCCTTCAGGTGAAGTTGAGCAGCTGTTACTTGTTTAAATCCACCTGGATAGCTGTTAATAGAAGCAAAGACATTAAAACTGGGAGTAGGCTATGGTACAGTATTCTTGAAATGAATACTTTTATAATACAAAAACTATTTTTATTAGGAAATTACCCTTGTTTCTGGAAACCATGCTGTTCATTAGTGTCTTAAAAATAAGTAGTAACCTATGCTATCTGAAATGCTATTCTCTTAAGTGGTCAACTACCATTATTTCATAAAAAGTTCCACATCTTGGAAAATTTCTTGGCATAACTATTTATATTTCTACCAAAATTTACAGTTATTCATCATTCATTCATTTATTATGGGGTAGTTTATCACTACTTGAATTGAGAAAGAAAAAGCAATGAGCCAAAATGTTTCAGATTCCCTGCCAAATTAGACAAAGTGTCTGTATAAGCTAGGAGTCAGGTTTGGGGAAAGTATTGGTAGACCACTTGGTTCTGAAGTCAAGTTCATACTCTAAACAGGTCATGATCCTGTCACCTATTAACAGGATAATAGATCACCAAGGTCTAAGGTAAAAGACCACCAAGAATTATATATTGGTTCTAAGGATTTCATTGTGTTCAGATCAAAATTGTATATAAAACAGATAAACTGGAGATTAAAAAAAAAAAACTGGGGATAGTACTAGAAGCAGCTTAGTACTTGAATACACCAGATCCAGGTCTGGAATATAGGTTTTGTAGTTACTACCAGTGTATTATTAGGCAACTTGTTTTACCTCTTTATATGTGAGTTTACTCATATAAGAAAAATGATAGGGGCCAGCCCGGTGGCACAAGCAGTTAACTGCGTGCACTCCGCTGCAGTGGCCCACGGTTCGCTGGACTGGATCCCAGGCGCGCACCAACGCACCGCTTGGCAAGCCATGTGTGGCGGCATCCCATATAAAGTGGAGGAAGATGGGCATGGATGTTAGCCCAGGGCCAGTCTTCCTCAGCAAAAAAAAAAGAGGAGGATTGGCAGATGTTAGCTCAGGGCTGATATTCCTCACAAAAAAAAAACAAAACAGAAAACAGAAAAATGATAATCTCTGCCTCATCTACCTCTCAACATTTTTATGAGAGTCAAATCAGAAAATGTTCGTGAAAGTGCTTAAAAAATTTAAAACAAAAACAATATAAACATGTAAGATCTTAATACACTGAATGGATAAATAAAGCCTAAATGATTTCCAAGGAAGAGGAAAAGAAAATGTAAAGTCACTGGACTCTGTAAGAAAAGTTTCAATATTCTAACCACATCTTGCATGATAGTGTAGAAGGTATGCTTCATTAAATTTGTACATGACCTGAAGATGAGGGGTTAACTCACACATTACATGATACAATCAAGATCTCAAAAGATCTTAAAAGCTTGGAGATAAAACTTAACATGGAGTTAACCTAAGGTACTGCAGTTGGATTAAAATGCAACTAAAGATACAGGAAGGAGACATGGTTGAACAGCATATTGTTTGATAAAGACTTAGGAGTTCTAGCTGATAGTGAACTTAGCGTACCACATAGTGATATGGCCTTGAAGAAAAGTTCTGCTGCAATAGAAGACTGCGTAACTGAGAGATGGAGGAAAGAGTCACATTATACTAGGAAAACATCAGAACACAGCCAGACGAGTGTATTTAGTTAAGAAAGGTACTGACAAACAATGACTTTATCTAAAGAAGAGTGACCAAGATATAACGGGGATATTTGAAGTGAGGCCATATAAAGAACTCTGAAGGAACTAGAGATGTTTAACCTAGAGAAAAGACAAATCAGTGAGCATTTGCTGATCACTGTCTCAAAATTATCTGAAGGATGTCATGTGGAATTGGTATAATTATTTTACACTGTCCCAATGAGGAAAACTAAGACCAATATGAAAGCTAGACAAATATAGATTATGACTCAATAGCATAAAGATCTTTCCAAAACTTAGACCATTTCAAAGGTGGTATGAATGTGCTGTCTCATAAGCTATGAGATTGCTATTATTCAGACATAGGTGGAGAGACCTACAACTTGAAAGGTATATTGTGGAGATTTTAGGTATTTTCCAAACTTGGGATTTTGTTCACTACTCCTTAAATGTCTCATGTACTTTCAGATGTTTAGGATGGTTCTAGATACAGAGTAAGAGGAATTATAGGAAGCAGAAAGAAATAAGTGATAAGATCCACTAAAAATGAGAATAATCTTATCAGAGAGGTTACGTGAAAAGCTTCCAAGAAAAACAAATAGTGTCATTAATAACTAGTATTTGGTATAGTTTTGTGTTTTTTTTGATTGAGTAAGTTATATATGTAGCATGAGTAAAATTAGTATTTTCTTAAATGCCAAATTTTGAAAATACTTTTTTCTTTTAAATAAGATCAATAGTATTAAAGTATCAATAAATTAAAGTAATACACTTCAACTGCCTATCTTCCTTGACAATGCATTATCTTACCCAGTATGTGAGGAATACACTTTTTGTTCCCATTTGTTTCCAGAAAATGCAATGTGCCTTGTGTTCATTATGACAACATGATCCCCGCAGTCACCTAGATTTAAAAAGAAAAAAGAAAGAAAAAAGATTTTATATGATAAATCATGATTTTAAGAAAACGTGGCCTTGGTTATTATAAAGCTTATTGAAGTCCAAACAACACATTAAAAAATATAAAGCAAGTCATAGTGCAACATCAAAATCCTTGAACAGATTTCTGTTACTCTTTTATATAACGTCTAAGTATAGAAAGAGTTGGCTGGCCATTTGGAAAATCTCAACACTGGAAAGTAAAGAGAATTTAATAAAGATGCCAATAACAACAATATATCTTTCAAAGGCAAACTATTGTTATTTTATTATTTCTTCCCATTAATAATTATACTTCATAAAAATGTCTATATTAAGCACCTTTAAATATCTAATACAGATTTTTTCTTAAAAATAGAAGAGAAAATGAAAACAATATGCATATAGATATAAAAAAGTAAGTTTTACCAATAGGTAAATTGAAAACAAATGTAAAACATCATAACTGATTATTATTATTCTCAAATTTAGAGAACAATAGAGTACTATGATCTTATGCTTAACTACTTACCCAAGGTTTTTTCCAACCACATTTAACTAGATAAATTTAAACTGCCACTACTTTCAACTATGACTACACACATATATAACAGGACAAATGACTTGAAAATCAAAATATATGTACAGGACTAATTTGCCAGTGAAAAGTACCCCTAAGTAGGGCTGTTCATCTAAACAAAACCTAAAAAGTCAACATGTAAGTTTTCACATGAATCACTACACAATCAGAAATATTTATTAAATGCTTGCTGTACTAATGGAAAAACAACACAAGATTCTAGAAGCTTATTTATTTTAGAAAAAACATTACTGAAAAAATAAGTGTAAGTACAATATATGAAAAGTAAGATTATAAGATTCTATGCAGAGCTTTAAATCTGAATGGTAGACTTTTCAGAGAGAAGTTCATAATCTATACAGGACAAGGGGAAAGGAAAGAGAATAAAGCAGGTGGGTTTTCTTCACTAGAGTGAAAGGGAATCAGAGGTGTGAAGGAAAGACCTGGGAAGCCTGCTGTTAGTGGGTTGAAAAGGATAGTTTGACAGTATTTGGCAAATTAAGTCACTAAAGTTCCTAAAAGTGACACATGGTGGGCTACTAAGGCAGTTGGGCAAATGAACGAGAAGAACAAATAAAGAGGGCGAGAAGATATCTACACAGTCTCAAAGAATGCTGAAGTTACTTTAGTTTTCATCCAGACATTTATAGTTGAAGAAGCTAAGACTCCTTAAGATTAAGTGATTTGCCAAAGCTCACACACCGAGTTATTTAACACCCTGTTCAGGCTCTTTCCATGACATCTATCTGGAGGAAAAATGGAATCTTTAATTATCTACTAAAGCTGAATTTATTTTTTAAATGTTGTTTAAGCTTTAAATATGCAAAAAGTATCTTGAGTCACTCAAAACACATTGTAGAGATCAAAAAGGATCTTTTAAGGGACATTAGAAAGAATACCACAAATCAGGTGAAAATCATGTTCTTTCAGATCTAAGGTATGAAAATCTAATCTGGGAAAAATCACGCCCCCTTAATAAATTTATGTCAAAGCTTTATTAAATACATTCTTAGAAGCACTTCTCTACTGACTATAAATAAAACCAACCAGCAATTAAATATTTGTTTTAACTGCATTACATATTAAAACAACAGCCGATATTATTGTTAAAGGCTGAAATCCAGGATACAGTGCAATCATTTCTGTCTAAATTTCTGTTAAGTTAAATCAATAGATATATTTTGTTTAAAAATTTTAATTAGAGAATTTTACATTTTATAAAATGTACCAAATGTATATAAATTGGAGCTCTATTGCCTGATCTAGAGATATTGGAAGAGAAATCAATGTCTTTAAAATTTAAAAAAATTAAAGTTCGGTAAGCAATTTTTAGAAATAAGAATTGTGAGTTTATTCCCAAAAATTCCCACCTTAGATTTCTGACCTTATCTGACTCTTTTTTATAATACTAGATGTTAAATTAAATGGCCAAATAAGATTCAAACTAATTCAATCAAAGTGGAAACTCAGAAGTTTCATGCCAGGGAATCTCAGGTCTCATCACAGGTTACACTATCAGGGGCACTTCTCAGTCCTGTGGCCTCAGTGTTCTGGCCCATCTTCTGCTCTGAGCCAGAACTCACTCACATTTTTTCTTCAAAATTGCCTGGGAGGAAGGCAAATAACATTTATTCAGTATCTTCTACATGCAAGGGACTAAGCTAGGCATTTTATATTTACATTCTAACACTGAAAGTCTCATAGTCATCTTATTAAGTTGGCTTTACCTCCCGCCTCTCACTTTTATTTTTTAATCAGAAAACTGAGTCAGAGGTTAAACAATGCAGCTAAGAGTATATGACTAATAAGTAGTAAAGTTAAGCTTCAAATCCAATTCTAGTGACTTCAAAGATAACTCTTATCCTTTTCACTACAACCAGGATGGAAGTAAGTGGTGGGTGGAATGCCATGTGGAGGCAATGATATCACTCAGTAATCGGTCATGCACCCTTTTCTGCTAGGTTCTGAGAAAAACTCAGAAATCCTTCTCAATGTACTGCTCCTAGGTTAAAGTTATTTGCCACCTTTGTGATTCACTATGTATCAACTCCTCAGGTAGGTGTTCAAGGAGACTTACAGTACCGGCTCAAATTTTCTAGCCTTATTTACCAGTTCTTTCCCACACCACTGTATGTACCAGGTAGGCCATACTACTTGCTATACTTGCTATTCCCTGAAGCATTACCCCATTATCTCTTTCTCTCTCTCACAACACACACACACAGGCATGCATACATACATTCTCCAATCTTTTTTGTCTTTGTTCCTTTCACTAGAAATGCCCTCCTAATTTATCTCCACTTGTTAAGTTTTATCCATAAAATTTAAGTTCAACATAAATATCAAGTTCCAACATAAATATCAGTCCTTCTTCCATAAAGTCTTTCCTAATACTAAAACCAACTTCCTTTAATTCTGCAAAGATGCCTGGATCTCTCTTATGATCTGATTTAACTCTATCTGTCCTATCATTTGTGTGATTTTATTCTCTCCAACTAGATTATAAGCTACCTGTTCAAGACTGTTAATTGTAGATCTCTTATATAAGAGAGTTACCAGTCATGGTAAATGTTCAAGAAAAAAATCCCTGGTGTTCACTTTGATGTAAATAGGGCTTGTTCCATCATTTCTGGCTCCCACACAATTCCTTTCTTAGGTTTCATGGGAGAAGCTCCTACTTTTTATCTTAGAAATCACACCATTCAAACTTGGTCCGAGCTAGTCAGACCTCACACAAGGGTAGATTCAGATGGAGACATCTCTTGAGTTTGTTGGGAGTCTTGAGCTCCTCCAAAATGTGCTTTATAGTCCTTTTCCATTGATTAATTAACGAACTCATTACTTAGTATGTACATACTAATGCCAGGTACTGTTCTTGATGCTGGGAATATAGCAAAGAGTGTAACTGAAGCCCCTGTCCGTAATGAATCTTACTTTCTAGTGGAAGGAGCTAGACAATAAACAAATACGTAACTAACAATATGCCAGGAGCTGATAACATAGGGGGATAAAGAGTAATGGGATGGAGGTATTATTAATTGGTACCGGTTTTTGTGTTAACTTAAATCTTCATTTCTCTTGATAAATGTCAAAGAGTACAATCGATGTGTTGTATGGTAAGCTCATGTTTAGTTTTTATAAGAAACTGCCATACTCTTTTCCAGACTGGCTGTACCGTTTTACACTCCCACCAGCAACGTACGAGTAATCCAGTTTCTCTGCATCCTCACCAGCATTTGTTGTTGTCATTGTTTTTTATTTTAGCTATTTGAATAGATATGTAATAATATTTCCTTGTGGTTTTAATCTGTTATCTCCCTAATGGCAAAGGATGTTGAACATTTTTTTATGTTCCATCTGGTCATGTATTTTGCCCATTTTCTAATTAGCTCATTTTTTTTTTTACTGTTGAGTTTTGAGAGTTTTTATGAGACTGACATGCTGCCGACTGCACCAAGAATGCGGGTTGCTGAGTTTTGAGAGTTTTTAATATATTCTAGATATAAGTCTTTTGTTGGTTATGTGGCTTGCAAATATTCTCTTCCAGTCTGTAGCTTGTCTTTTCATCCCCTTCAGAGTCAAATTCCTCCTTATAAGCTCTTTGCTTTAGCTCAGTGGTTTTTAAACTGCATCTGATAGAATCTCAGGGTCCTAAGAAGGTGATTCAAAGGGGCAAGGATCTAGGGTCTTCTCCCTCCTTCAACCAGCACAGCACTGCTTTTATATATGGGTCTCCATACAAGATTTGGTTTGAGAAATGTTTGAAAAATAGCTATTCCAATTTAGTGGTAAACAGCAAAGTTTGGCTTTGGCCTTTATGTTTGTATCCAGCCTTGAAGGACTAAGGTTCAAATGCCTACTTCAATGTTATTTTTGGCATCTTTGAACATGTACATGGGATACAATATTAGGGATGATCACGTAGGTTACCACAAAGCCTACTGAGTGTAAAGATGCTGTGATAGGAAAAATGCTGTAAGGCGCTGTGATAGGAACAAGATGTGTTGTTCAAATTTATTGCTAATATCTAAATGTTCACTTCCAAAAGAGGTAAGTATTATAGATATAACCTGGAGCAAAAATCTCCTTCAGTGCTTTGTACAATAATATTCTAGGAGTAAGCTGAAGAATAAATTATGCATTTAAGATCGCAAAATTAAAATGATGCAATTGTTAACATCTGAAATAGATTGCATTTAACTGACTAGTAAAAGAGAAAAATATGTTAGCTGGGTAGCTTTAAGATGAGCATCCTAAACTTTTTTTTTCCTAACAAGTCCTTATAGATTTAAGTAAATAATACAAGGCAGAACACTAGAGATTAGATTAGATATAATCTAATATTAACCTTTAAGAACTGTATGCAACTTTTATTTTATTTCAGTCCACGTAGACCAGGAGTATTTTAAGATAATTTAATAATAACTTTAGATAATGCTAAAGAAAGGTTTCCCTCTGCTTCTTTTAAATACTCCTATAGTCCTCCTCAACGAATTAAATCTGTGGCCAGTGAAAAGAGTGGAGTACTCATGAGGAATAAATCATAATCCAAAAATCACCACGTGCCCTTTCTTTTATCAGTGAAAAAGAAACATGTTCAAAAAGCTAGCAAGTCCAAAATTCAGGAGGGCAGCTCTAATTAGAAGAAGGGAGGAATACCTTTACAGATCCAATGGATTTTCTAAAGTGTTGTAGCAAACCAACTTTCCATTTATAAGCCTATTTTTTATGGAAAATGTGTTCTGGGTAAAGATGGAAATTACGTGGAACTAGGGAAAGAATTCCTCCCTCCTACAAAATTTGGGGGAAGTGGCATTACAAGTAGTCACCTAATTTCTTCCTAAAGCATAGCACATACCTGTCCACTGAATTAAAGTTCTGCTTCCTTACAAGCAGTCATTATTGCAAAAGTATTCCTTAAGTACTGATGAATAAATGTTCTGCTGAAACACCACAGAGCTTTTGTGGCTGCCTGTCAGGGCATCCTTTTCTAGTAATGAAGAATAGCTTTTCTACAAAATTAGAAATTTACTTTTTAGAGACTGAATTGCATCTTTGTTTCACTGTGTTTAATACATAACTTGTAACAGCAAAACTTCATGTCCACAAGATGTCACTAAAATCAAAACTTAAATTGCAAACAATTTTCAATTTATAAGTATGTTGTGTTTTAAGTTTTTTCTAACATTTATTGGTTTAATCAGCATTTATTTTTATTTATTTATTTTTTTTAAAGATTTTATTTATTTATTTATTTCCCCCCCCAAGGCCCCAGTAGACAGTTGTATGTCATAGCTGCACATCCTTCTAGTTGCTGTATGTGGGACGCGGCCTCAGCAGGGCCGGAGAAGCGGTGCGTCGGTGCATGCCCGGGATCCGAACCCGGGCCGCCAGAGGCGGAACGCACGCACTTAACCGCTAAGCCACGGGGCCGGCCCATAATCAGCATTTATTAAGTATGTATTATGTGCTCATAATCACTGTAAACATGAAAATTGACATACAAGTTCCCAGAAAAATAATATTACAAATGATGGTCATATATCCAGGAATGGCTGTAAAAGTTAACATTTAGGTGTGATAATGGCATTTTGGTTACATAGGCAAATAACTTTATTCTTAGGAGACATACGCTGAAGTATTTAGGTATTTAGTATTTAGATATAACAATATTCGCAACTTATTTTCAAATGATTGAGCAAAAAAAATATGGTAAAATGTTAACAGTTGTGTGATCTAGGTGGAAGGTAAAAAGAAATTCACTGTAGTATTCTTTGAACTTTTCTGAAAATGTGAAAACTTTCATAATAAAAGTTAGAAAAAAGTAAAGGACAAATAACCCAGTGGAAAAATGGGCAAAGGACATGCAAAGACATTTCATAGAACAATAAATGATAAAAGGCCAATAAAACAAATGAAAAGATACTCAGCTCCATTTGTAATCAAGAAATTGCAAATTAAAACCACAATGAGAGGGGCCGGCTCAGCGGCACAGCGGTTAGGTGCATGCGCTCCGCTTTGGTGGCCGAGGGTTCGAAGGTTCGGATCCCAGGCACACACCGATGCACCACTTGTCAAGCCATGCTGTGGCGGTGTCCCATATGAGGTTAAAGAAGATGGGCATGGATGTTAGCTCAGGGCCAATGTTCCTCAGCAAAAAAAAAGAGGGGATTGGCATCGGATGTTAGCTTGGGGCTAGTCTTCCTCACAAAAAAAAAAAAAAAAACCCACCATAAAGAGAGAGCATTTCACATCTACCAGGTAGCCAAAATTAAAAAGAATGAAAATATAAATGTTACAGAAGATGAGGAATAATGAAAACTCTTACACGCTGCTGACAGGAGAGGACTTGTGCATAAAGACTAACTAGCTTCCCACACACCTTTGAACCCAGTAATTCCTGTCCTATGGGCAGACCTTGGAGAAAGTCTTCCACATGCCCACGGGGAAAAAGGTACAAGAATATTGATAGCAATGTTGTTTGTAATGGCAAAAAAACTGGAAACAACCCAAATGCTTAGTGTAGGGGTAGTCATTTCATCATCATCATTACTGTTAATTTTCTTTAAAATATTATCTATATTTATAGATAGACACATCTCTACCTATATATATCTTTGTATATTTCTTTTGTGTGTGTGTGTGTGTGAGAGAGAGAGAGGAAGATCAGCCCCGAGCTAACATCTGCCAATCCTCCTCTTTGCTGAGGAAGACTGGCCCTGGGCTAACACCCGTGCCCATCTTCCTCTACTTTATATGGGACACCACCACAACATGGCTTGCCAAGCAGTGCGTCGGTGTGCGCCCAGGATCCCAACCGGCGAACCTCAGGCTGCCGCAGCGAAGCACGAGCACTTAACTGCTTGCGCCACCGGGCCGGCCCATGTATATTTCATATTTCAAAATAAAAAGTTAAAACTATGGTCAACTGCAACAAATGTCGACAGGTCAAGCAAGATGAAGAGTAAGATTTGACACCTGGATCTTGCAGGGTAGACAGTGAAGTGCCTGGGTAAGTGAAGTCAATCAAAACTACCTATAATAAGCAGGAGTCTTTTATTATGAAAATGACTTTTTTGTTTTGTTTTGGAAAAGGATACAGAAAAGCAAATCTATTAATTGAAAACAGTGAAAAGCAAAAACTTTCCATGCCTAGCTAGCTCTATATATCTTTCTGGGGGAGAGGGTTTTTAGAAGAGAGGGAAGCTTATTTGCTCATTTTCAAAAACTCTCTATTCAAATGCACTTTGCCACATGAAGAGACATGTATATGAGTGAACCTTTAATTTATAGTCCAAATCAGGATATTTCTGAGAGTGGAAGGAGGGATTTCTGATAATTTTGCTGGGGCAATGGTGTAAAATGCGGTTGTCCCAGGCAAATTGGTCTATAGGGTTTTCCTATGAATAATCCAAATTCATTTCAATGCCCTAGTAGGTTTTTAGCATGAACGGAATAAGGGATCCTCAGGAAAAAAGAGGTCCTTAAAAGCAGCCCAGACAAACTTCTTCACGATTCTATTCTGGCATGAAAACTGTGGTTACTACTGACAGGTCTAAAATAATACTCACTCAGTTGATGGTACACAGGTTTATGCAATCCTTGAAGTTTAATTGATGCCATAGCAGCAAGTTTGCCAGGAGGCTGCATTTTCCCATCTAAGAGATACCAAACTCGAGCAAAAGTAGCCCATTGCTTGAAAAACAAAGAAGAGGAAACAAAGAAAATTCTAATTAAAATGGAAATATTTGAGTTTATTATTATATACCATTACACGCAGTCTATAGTTAATGTCATTAATCTTTGAAAAAAGATCCTATCACTAAATAATTTTTGTCTTGTTTTGATTTCTATTTCTGAAAAAGAGGGGTCTTTTCTCAGTATTCTGCGAAGATTAACACAGGAATTTTTCCTGGCTGCTTTTCTATTAGCAATATGGATCACGCTTTATTAAAAACAGTCCAAAGACATATATCCCTTTACATATGACTTATATTTTTAATATCACATAGAATAATATCTGGAGAGGTAATGAGAAGCTCTTATGAAAGTTGAAGTTGTTTATAAGGTTTTCGAAAATATTCTGAGATTAATAGATACATTACATTAAAAGAAGAGTGGCCAATTAGGAACTAAAGACTATTCAGTACTTTAATTTCAAGGGAGAGTTAAATAGCAGAATCTAGCTGGGAGAGTATAGATGGATGACGTTGAATAAGCTTAAATTTTTAAAAAGTGCCTTAGACAGACATCTTTAGCCTGCCTCAGGCATAGACCACCGTCTTTGCATGCCCATCGGTGCCTTCAAACTGTAAGAAAATTACAGTGCCCAAAAGTGCCCAAAAAGCACTTGACCAGATGCTTTCTCTATGCATATACACAAGCAGTTAAACAATGCTGAAAAAAAAAAAACTAGGCTAGCTGGTTTTATTTTAAATTTAATTATCACAAACCTCAAATTAGCTTACCAATTCTGTTTTATTCCTGTTATTTTTCTAGTTTCTACCTCATTCCCCTTGCACATCTTTTGTCAGATTTATCCCTATTTCAAATATTTTGATGCCATTTTTAATGGTATTGTACTTTTAATTTAAATTTCTAATTGTCTGTTCCTAGCATATAAAAATATACTTCATTTTTGTATCGGTCTTCTATCTTGCAACCTTGCTAAATTTATCAATTCTAGCAGCTTTTCCATCTGATTTTTTTACATAGATGATCATGTCCTTTGCAAACAAAGACAGCTTCTAGCCCATATCCTTTCCCCACCACTCGCAGCTTATGAACTAATAAAAAAAATTCAAACTGTGGGACCTCCACAGGACAATCTTGTTTCTTCAGTAAACTGCAAGGAAAAAAGAAAGGAATAGGAATTGGAACCTATTTATTAAGAGAGACTTATAAAACATGGCATCCTACTGCATTTTGGATCCTAATCCAAAGGAACAAACTGTAAAAATATTATGTATTCACATAATACATATGAGAAAATTGGAAATTTGGACACATACTGGATATTTGATGATATTAAGGAATTGCAGTTAATTTTTCTTTTAGCTTTGATAAGTGGTATTGAGATTATGTATTTTTTTTTAAAAATCTTTATCTTGTAGAGAACATATTGAAATATTTACTGATGAAATAATATGAGTCTGAAATTTACCTCAAATTCATAAGGAAAGAATTGAATGGGAGTACAGATGAAATGATATTGGCTATGAGTTTTTTGAAACTGGATAATATCTACTTTTAATATATGATTGAAATTCTCCATAATAAAGTTAAAAACAAAAAGGAACTCTTGACCTCACTTCCCTGCCAGCTACTGCCTCATTCTTTCTTCTCCTTTGTAGCTAAACTCTTCCAAAGAGTTGACTCCAATTTGAGTTTACTCCAAGGTCTCCCCTTATTCTCTCTTCAACCTACTCTAACCTGGCTTTTGTCTTCCCACGCCCAGCACCATCACTCGACTTCCTGCCAAAGTTACCATGAACTTCATGTTACTAAACCCACTGGTCAATTCGAAGTCTTCGACACAGCTCATCATTCTCCTGTCCTGGGTATTCTTTCTTCACTTGATTTCCAGAACACCACCCTTTGTTGGTTTTTTCCCTACCTTGCTGGTTCTCCCCTTATCTCTTGCCTCTGAAATGTTGAAACGTCCTAGAACTCAGGACTTGGTGCTCCTCTCTTCTCTTTACTCATTTCCTCAAAGACTTCCTCCACACCCATAACTTTAAATGCCATTTGTATGCTTAAGACTTCCCAATTTATATCTTCAGCCTGGACCTCTTTCCCAAAATTCGACACTTGCCTCCAACTGCCCACTGGGGATCTGCACTACAGTGCTTCTTAAACCATATGTAAGAAAAGACTCTAGTTTTTCTCCAATCCACTGCAGACCAATACTTTGATAGAAAAAAAAACTCTGTTAAAAAAATTAAAATACTCCCCTAATGTCAAATTGCTATAAAAGTTTTTAAATGTTTAACTTTACTTCCTGTATCAGGGACAAGTAAGAGTCCAAGGAAGGAATCACACTTGGAGCAGGACTGGGCTAAGAGGCATCTTACACGAACATATCCAAAACTGAAGTCTTGCTCTTGCACCAGAAACCTGCTTCAATCTCAGCCTTCCTACCTCAGCGGATGGCACACCGTTCCGGTTGTTGAAACAAAAAAACCCCGGAGTAATCCTTCTTTTTTCTTTTGCTGTTGGCCCACATTCAATCCTTCAGGAAATCCTACTGGCTGCACCGTCAACCAAACCTGACCACTTTTCAACACGACACTGTTACTAGCCTAGTTTGCGCCACCATCATGTCCAGCCTGGATTACCGCAATAGCCTCCAAACGGCTTCTTTGCCTCTATCTTCCACCAATCCCCATCTCTGAACAGTCTATTCTCGACTCAGCAGCCAGAGTGCCCCCCTTTAACACCGACGTGAGATCACGTTGCTCTGTGGCTCAAAACCCTCCAGTGGGTCCTCATTTTACTCAGTAAAAATCAGATTCTTACGATGGTCTACAATGCCCTATGTGACCCATCTTGTTACCTCTCTGACCTTCTCTCCTAACACTCTTTCCGGGAAAAAAACACCCGAATAGGGCTGACAGAAAGGAGGAGGGGCTGAGTACCTGGAGAACCAGAGCAAGCGGCGGCCAGAATCACTATCCTCGTTTGTGCCTTCTCGAGGTACCTCGCCTGGCCCAAAGACTCGCCTCCTGCCAACTCAGCTTCACTAAACCCGCGGGAGCCACTGACCTCCTTCTGCCAGTGTAATGAATCCCATCAAGACACATGAGTCCGAGCTCACCTGGGGCGCCCTGGAGAAACTCGACATGTTCCCCAACTAGCAGGACAGCCCTGTTTCCAGGCTCCCACGCCGGTCCCGCAGCATCACTGGCCCGGCGGGAAACGCATAAATCCCAGCACGACAGTTCCTAGGCCAGACAGCACTCGTCTGCCTCTCCGCTTTTCCTGCGTCTTCTCCAATCTTCCCACGGTAGCAGTTTTGTCAAGAAATGAGGGAATAATGCACTTATTGAGACAATGACTCCCGAAAATAATCCGCTTGCTGTAAAAGCTGCGGAAAACCAACCGAGGACCCACAATTTCCAGCCGACCTAAGTGGAAGGGAACCGGAAGTGCGTCAGCAGCGCGCGGCTGTTTGGATGTAGGAGCGGAGACCTGAAACACAGGCTTGGCTCGGAGGAGATGGATCGGTACCTGCTCCTCGTGATCTGGGGGGAAGGAAGAGTCCCGTCGGCAGCGGGTGGGGAGGCGGAGCGTAGGCTGGGGGCGTCATCCGTTGAGGGTACCGAGAAGCAGCCGGGTAAGCGCTGGGCTGAGAAAGAGCGGGAACGGCTTGCGGGGAGGGGAAGAAATTGGAGTTTGTTGTGATCAAGTTCTGCTGGGGAGGGACCTGCACCGAGTTGTCCCAGGAAGCTGTGACTCTATCTGGGGTCGACCCAATAGGGGCTGAAAAATATAATCTTCGTGGAAAAATAAGGACAAATTTGTGAATGCAAGATTCTAGAGCTCAGAAGTTCTTGGCACATTAAAAATTTAACTGAATAAATTCTCTGTGCCTTATTAATGGAATTTCTTCTCTTTGGAAATATATGCATTCAGTGGGTTTTTCTGCCTCCTGTATTCCAAATGCAAGTAATACAGAAAGGAGCCAAATAGAAAAGGATCTTACTGTCCTAGAGTTTACATCCTAATGGAAAGAAACATCCGCACATAAATTAAGTAAAAAACAAGTGATAAATTTAAAACAATTTTAACCATTTGAGAGTACATTGCTTTTTGGCGCTCCTGTCTAGACTCTGTATTGCATTTTATTTGTTTGTTTTGCTAGAACAGCCATTTTGACGAGGAAGTGTATATGGTTGTGTATAGAGTATTGTGACAGAGTTTCCCTTCCCTTTACCTTTTGGGGGCCTTTTGGATTTGTGTTAACTGGCAGGCGTGTGTAAACCAGGAGCCTTTCCTGTTTTCTCTGCTTGCTTTAGATTTATTATATCAAACTTGGACAGAGTGTAGTTCTTTTATGTACAACATATTGTTCTTGAGAGTCTCTGATGGTGAAATTGGAATAAGCCTAGATTACATAATTCTTGAACCCACTGAGTTAGTCTGTCTTTTCTTTTTCAGACATAACAGCAGCAAATGTTTATCACCTCCTGAAAAGAAGCATTAGTGACTCAATTAATCTAGAAGATAGTACTTTCCCTGGTAAGTAGAACATAAACCCTCTTTTCTCTGGCACAGCATTTGTATTGGAAATAAACTTAGTTTGGTCACTTAGGAGTATAAGAAATACTTGTTGACTGTGTACAAGTCACTGGGATAGGGAGATTACTAAGGAAATACAAAACCAAAGAAGATACTGCCCCTCTCTTCCTGATGCTTGAATGTCATAAAGTTATAAAAATTATTTTAGGTTCGCAGCTTGAGTTTCATTCTTATTATGAGATTTTCTTGCCCATCTTTAGCTCCGTATAAAATAGGGTAATGTGGCATTATAAGAAGGATTTATAATTTTGTCCTGAGTACGAATACATTATTAATGCTCTTACACCCATTTCCTTACCATTTTTTTTATCCTTACCTCTTACTGATTCTTTTAAAAGCACTTCATAATTGCTAATACAGTGATCTTTTCTCCATTCTTATCTGCTTTAACTTTTTCAAAGTATTTGACTTTTTTGACCACCCCTTACTTTGTAAAAATCTTTTTTCCTTGGGTTTCCATTGGTGTGTACAAATCCATCTACTTATTTCTTTGATAGTCATCTTCTCTTGTACTTCCTCTTCTTGGCCTCTCTCTGAGAGTGTCTTTCACAGGCTCAGAAAATGAAGGTGCCAAAACAGACCCCGTCTAAAAGCTGAAGGAAGTTTCTGGAGATGCCAGGGAGAGCGTGCTTGTTTTTATAACTTTGTAGTTCTCATGACTGTACAATCTGTTCCTTTCCCTTTTCTTTCATTGGAGAGCCTCTTGTCTCTGGAGTTTCAACTAGCACCTTTGGGAAATGATTTCTAATATGTATGTGCTGCCCTAGCCTGTTTGCCAAGTCCAAGTAATGCTCTCATTCATTTTTTAAGTTGGTATGATTTAAGTCAGTACTACTATTACTGTAAGAAAGATTTTCTTTCATTTGTGCCTTAAATGTATATGTAAAAGAGCTATTGGGAGCATTCTAGGGGTTCTCATGATAACTTTCACTTTCCATTTGGGTGGGTAGAAGTTTCTTCTGCAGTCATTTGCACCGTAATGTGGGACCATATAAATGACTGTGCAAGCTGAAGCCATGCAAAGCAATCCTAAGATAATAAGCAATGGGAAAAATGACAAATGTTCCATGATATTTTTTTGTCGAAACATTAAAAACTCTCTTACTATTGGTTATAAAGGTAGAGGAAATGAGAAAAATAGTACAACTAATATTTATTTCATATGCTATAATTTAATACATTAGAAACATTGAGAATTAGTCTTTCATTTCTTTGTAGAAACCTTATCAAGAGTACTTTGAACAGTGCTTGCTACCTTCTCATCATCATATGACTTATGATACAGAGTGAGCATCTTTCTATGTTTTGGGGAATTGTCATACTCGTAAGTTTGGGTTAGCTTCCAATGTTTTATCCTTTACACTTTTTTTTTTTTTTATAATTTTATTTATTTATTTTTCCCCCAAAGCCCCAGTAGATAGTTGTATGTCATAGCTGCACATCCTTCTAGTTGCTGTATGTGGGACGTGGCCTCAGCATGGCCGGAGAAGCGGTACGTCGGTGTGCGCCAGGGATCCGAACCTGGGCCCCCAGTAGCGGAGCGCACGCACTTAACCGCTAAGCCACAGGGCTGGCCCTATCCTTTACACTTTTAATGTTGTGAAATATCTCTGAGTTCCCTTAATGCAAAGATTTTTGCCAGCATCATTTTCTCTGGGACATCTTCATCCTTTTTGTCACACTGTTTTTATCACAGCAGCTATTTCTAAAATCCATTTATGTTGGATTTGAGTATCAATTTCAGTGTTATCACTATTTGTTTTTTTTGCTGTTCTTTCATCTCTTTTTCCCCCTTTTGCCAATTCCCTCTTCCTATTATTCCTTTTTGTAAAATACACATAGATTTATCACTGAGAGCGAAGGAGGCAACACAATTAAATCTTTTGCCATCTATGTGAACTGAATAACAGATGTGCAGTAACTGTTCAGCAACAAACTGCGAATGGAGTAATGTGATTGGTCACTGATCATGATACATATCTTTTATTTATGTAGCGATTTGTGATCTGAGAAGCCAGCAGTAAAGTTTTACTTTATGTTAGTTAATAAACCACGGGCAATGGGAATTTGAACCCTCCTTGGGGGGCACTGGTGTTATATAAACTATGGTAACTGAAATCTGTGCAGATTGGAACCATGCAAAGAGAGAACTGCCTGTATGGAATTTCCTACCCTGCTAGGATTATTGCTTTCAATATTATGGCAAGTCTGAGGAACTGGAAGTGCAATGTGATTATAATTGAGATAAAGCTGGAGAGATAGGCATAGCTATGTAGGGGATTTTGTAAATTTTCAGGATGTTTGGATTTTTTCCTAATGGTAATTAGCAGCCATTGAAGGCATTAATGAAGGAAGAGACATGATAAGATCTGTGCTGTTGAAGTATTCTGGCTACAGTATGGTAGACAGATTGGAGGAAACTATAGATATGAGGGAGCTGCTGCAGAAGACCAGCTAAGAAATGAGAGAGGCAGCCAGGGTGGAGGAAGATGGATAGATCTGAAGGAAATTATGGAGGTAGAATCCATCTGACTTAGTGTTGGATTGGTATGATTTAGGAGAAGGGAAGGGTGAGAAAGGAATCAAGGATGACATTAGATTTCTGGCTTGGGTAATAGTATAGATGGTGGCATTTAGTAAGATAAGAGAATTAGATTTTGAGGGAATATGACATGTTCAATTCATAACGTTTAGTTGCCTGTAAGATGTCAAAGTGAAAATGTTTCATAAAAGTTGGATATATGTGTCTGGAACTCAAAAGACAGAATAAGGCTGGAGGCACAGATTATAGAATCAATATATAGACATCAGTTCAAGCCGTGAGAAAGGTTGGGATTGCTTATGGGTAGCAGAAAATCTCGAAGTGAATCTCAGTATGTGTTTAAAGGAACTGAACACCAGTTTTTAAAGGAATGAGAAAGAGCAGCCTGAAAGATAGGTTGCACAGAAGCCAAGTATTTTAAGGAGAAAGCAGTCAACTGTGTCATCTGTGATTCCTTTCTTACCCTAATGTTGAGAGCTCAAGTAACAACAGAACTAAAAAGTGTCTGTTAGATGTAGTAACATGTTAGTTATTGGTGACTTTGGTGAGTGTAGTTAGAGTGGCATGTTGGAGACAAAAACAGATTGAAATAGATTTGGAGAGGAGTAGAAAAGGTGATGAAATGGAGACAGTCAAGTGTAGACAGCACTTTCAGAAAGTCTCTCCTTGAAGAAGAATAAAGAAAAAGATATAGTAGTATCTGGAAAAGGGAGGTGAATTTAAAGGAGATCTTTTTTGTTTTTTAATAATTTGAGAAATACTTGTGCAAATTTAAATGCTATTAGGAAGGAACTGACAGAGGAGGAGAAATTGAAGATGCAAGAAAGATAGTATAATCAGTGTCCTGGGGTCCCAGCGGAAGTCTGAGGGATAACCGTGTTGGAAGGGCATTGCCTTTTATGTGTTAACGGGAAGGAATGAGGAAAGACGTAATGGGAATGCAAGTAGGGTCATATGTTTGCTGACAGGATGTTATGGAAGTTATTACCTAATGGTTTCTATTTTCTTAAGGAAGTAGGAGGTAAAGTCTTTTGCTGAGATTGTTGGCAGAAAGTGGTAATAGGGACTTAGCATCTTACCTACCTTCCATGAGTTACCTCATTTACCCACATTTCTTCTTCTCCCTCCTTTGAATCCAATTTCTAACCATAGCTCTAAATTCTTCATAGTTGTTCTGACACACACCCTGGGGTGACCTTAATTTCATATCCTCGTAATATTACAATTTCCAAGAGGAGCATCTTTCTTTTTTCTTTAGGTTATAGTTACTCTTTAAACCCTCTCTCTCTAGCCAGGTTGAACCAGACCTTCATGATCTTTGAAGAGGGAATCGTTTTCCCTAAAATGACTTGCATGGTTTTGTGTGACTCAATAGTAATTGAATGGGTGTATTTTTCAATATCTTTATGGTAGATTTTAGTGTTTCAAATAATGATTAAAATAGATTTTGAATTGTGACTAACTAAAAGTATTCATTGCAAGTGAATAATTTTGCTTTTTAGGCAGAGATTTTAAAAAGATCCACGTAATCTATCTATCTATCTATCTATATATATATACACAGATGGTCCCCTACTTACACAGTGGTTTGACTTACGATTCAATTTTTCAGCCTAACAATGGTGTGAAAGCGATAGCATTCAGTAGAAACCATACTTTGAACTTTGAATTGTGACCTTGTTCCGGGCTAGTGATATGCGGTAGATACTCCCTTGTGGTGTTGAGCAGAAGCAGCGAGCCGCAGCTCCCAGTCAGCCATGCGGTCACTAGGGTAAACAACTGATATACTTACAACCATTCTGTACCCATACAACCATTCTGTTTTTCACTTTCAGTATAGTATTCAATAAATTACATGAGATATTCAATGCTGTATTATAAAATAGGCTTTGTGTTAGATGATTTTGCCCAACTATGGGCTAACATAAGTGTTCTGAGCACATTTAAGGTAAACTAGGCTAAGCTATGATGTTCAGTCTGTTAAGTATGTTGAATGTGTTTTTGACTTAAGATATTTTCAACTTATGATGGGTTTATTGGAAGTAACCCCATCGTAAATCGAGGAAGATCTGTGTATGTGTATATATAATATATATATATCTTGGAAAACTATATAATAAATATCAAAATTATATAATTCTTTAAGGATATATGCTATAATATTTGCTTATTTGTGCTTTTCTTCTAATAAGCGTGATTTTGTTTTCAAGCTTGTTCGGTTGGCGGTATACCTGGTTCCAAGAAGTGGTTCTTTGCAGTGCAGGCAATATATGGATTTTATCAGGTAATGGAAATAAAAAAATAGTCATTAGTGAATGTCTTTGCTAATACAAAAAATTCCATTAACCCATTATTTAATGCAATCTTTTCTTATATTAGTTTTGTAGTTCTGACTGGGAAGAGATACATTTTGGTGCAGAAAAAGATGAAATTGAAGATGTTCTTCAAACAAATATCGAAGAATGTTTGAGTGCTGTTGAGTGTTTTGAGGAAGAAGATAGTAATAGCAGGGAATCATTATCCTTGGCTGAGTATGCTTATATGCTTTTTATGATATCTTTAAAATATTTAACATTAGACAGTATTTTAGCCATGAAGAATGAAGATTAGATATTTTAGCTATAGTAAGGGAACTTTAGTTAATTGAAATTTTCAACTGTTCATTTTGGAAGACATTCAGCAATTTGGGCCTTTTATTGAGTAAAAGTCTTGAAAATGCAAAAACTGGTATGTGAAAATGTGAAGCTTCTTAAGCTTATGTAATTGCAGGAATCATAAAAAGTGATGTTTTAATTAATATGTCACTTTCTTAAAGATAAATTCTGCCTGATATTATATTTCAAGAGCTTGAATATAAACTTTATTTAAGGTTGGTAACTGGCATTCAGACCAAATTATCATTTTCATTTTGCTATTTAAGGCTGAGATATATGATTTCTTCAACTTACGTGTATCTTCAGCATTTCACGTACCTTTAAAATCCATAAAGAATTTTTGAGGATTATATAGATGATTGAGTTTACTTTTAGGTTTTTTGAATTGTGGTACAAAATATAAGTTGAACCAAGTGATATAAGTGGTGATGATTTGTTTTCTTCGTGAAATATCCCATCTTTGACTCGTAATTAATACCTTTCATTTTTGTCTTCCATAATATTTCATTATAAAAAACCACTTTTATTTCAGTATTCACATAATATTCGTATAAATTGCTGCAGACTTTAAAAATTTCATTTTTCTATTTTCAAATCATGTTTGTTTGTACTGATTAATGAAGAGAGACATTGTAGGACTATGGAAAGAGCATTGAACCAGGGGTCAGTAGAGGTAGTCTCTAGTTAAATGGTCTTAGGCCAGTCACTTAACTTCTCTGGTCCTTTGTTTTCTCATCTGTAAAGGGTTGAGATCCTTTCAGAGGATTTATAAGGTACCTTGCAGCCTTTGGGCGCTTATCATTCCTTATGTTTTCCCATCACTATTAAAAGATGGTGAGTGTAAAAGTAAATATTTCTACTAAGTGATCTAATAATTGTTTCCACAAGAGGGAGCTTGAAAACTATACTTTACCATAGGATGCCTTAAGTCTTTTACACAATAGTGGGTTTATAATAAAGGATTTAAGTACCTTTATGCTATATAATAAACTGTTTTGAGGAAAAAATTTTAATCTTATGGATAAAATTAATAGGTTTTGAAGAATTGGAGGAGGGCATCATACTTTCCAGTCAGGGCTGTTACATGCCATTCAGAGAAAAACAATATCCTTTATTTAACACTTGACAATACCTTTTAGGATTCAGAAAAATGTCCTATTAGTTATAATTTATGTTTAATATGCTAGATATAATTTAGGGAGTTTTTTTTCCTTTTTTTCTTGTTATCTGTTTGTTTTTGGGTGTGGCTGAGAACTTGGACTCAGCCTAGCTTCCACACTTAGTAATTATGTGACTTTAGGCAAATTATTTAAATTAAGGGTAATAATAGTATTATAGTAGTGCCTCATTGAATTGTCACGAGGATCAAATGAGATAGTGCATCTAACATAGTTAACAGTGTCTGGATCCATTTAGTTACTGTTACCTATTATGATTATATGTAATATGTATGTGTGGGTTTTTTTCTAACTTACCCTTTTATTTTAGTCTGTATGAAGAATCTGCGGAAAATTTGCATCAGTTATCAGATAAACTTCCTGCTCCTGGTAATATTTTATGACTGCTTTCAATAAGTTGTATCCTACCTTACCCTTGCTATGAATGAGTGATAAGTTCAATAATTTGTATCTTGCCTTAGACTTCCTATGAATGAGTAACAAGTTCAGTCTTTATGCTAGTGTTCTCATTTCTAATTTTGAAATTCAAAATGAAAAAAATTTCTTAATTGAACTTGATAGAAAACATACTGCTCTAGTTTAATAAGTACATTACTGAGACATTATAGTTCTCTTGATTGTTTTCATTTAGTGAGACAAAAATTAGAACTTAGAAAATTAAGTACCCGTCTCTGTTTCCTTATTTAGTTATCACTGAAGAAGAATCTTCCCACTATATACCATTATTTTCTAGAGTATTTTCTATAGAACACCAATCCCGTGAATAACTCCTGGAAAAGGAAGTTCTTTAACCTAGATAATTTGGATAACATTCGTTTATTGGTGTGAAGTCACTGTACTCATTATCAACTAGAAGGTTGTACGGTAAAAGAAGCACTTAGCATTTTTTTTACTGAACCCATTTTTTTCCTATAATGGAAAGCATATTTTTTGAAATACTGTATTATGCTATTCTTAAAACTGTTTTTTTTGTCTTAAACTAATCTTTGTGTTAATCAAGCAGCTGTCATCTAAAGCTTGGTACAATTTGACATCCACAAATAGTTTTGAAGAACTTTCTTTTCTGAATATTTTCATTATTGATGGTCATTTATTAAGCAGATATTTATTGTGTTTAGTATACGTCATGCATTGTACTAGGAGCTGAGTATACAGTGATCAGTAAAGCATATGTGGTTACCGTAAAGGACTTCGTAGCTCACAGTCTAATCCTTATATTCAAGATCATATTTTAGTGTAAAAGATCCTATATGGAAAATAACTGAATACATTGATAAATAAACATAAATTTTTTTAAATGTGTGAAATTCAAAATATGCATTGAAATATACAGTTGCTGTTTTGGCAAATTAGAGTACTTTCATTATCAGATTTTTATTTGGCTTCTGTTTTATTTTGATTTTTCTGGTCCTTCAGTAAACTTATAATTTTATAAAATTAAAAAAAAATTTAAAGTTTCATGAAATTATCCTTCTTTCTCAGGAACCAATGATGTCAGTATAATTGAATTTTCTGACTGTTTTATTGTCATTTAAAAAGAGAAATAATTTATTTGTACATTACAGTTTTATGCTAATTCATTCCCTTTTGTATAACAAAATTAAATATAGAAAAATGTAATGAAATTGCACAGGTTTTTTTTTCTCTGTTCAGTGCAACAATAGCATTGATGATCTCAAGAGCAATGTGTATAATTAACCACTGGTGCATAATTGGCAAGTTATTATGATATAGTTCATTGTTTTCTGGCATATGCTAGCTATTTCAAGATAATATGGCTTTAAATTAAATGAACATTTAAAATTTTTGAACTCCTAAAGATGTGTATTGTTTTGAAGAATTTCAGAAATTAAAGTTAAAATCCTCCTTTGTCTTCTAAATAAACATAAAATTCAATTTTTCAGGGTACTATTTTGAGATATTTCAGATCTAACATCTTTAAAAAATTATAAAAATGCCTTTTTCTCTTTCTAGGTAGAGCAATGATAGATATAATACTGTTGCCGTCTGACAAAGATCCTCCTAAATTAAAAGACTGTTTACATACTGTAGGAGCATTAAAACATTTAAAGGAATGGTATTCAGCAAAAATCACTATAGCAGGAAATCATTGTGAAATGTAAGCTTCTTTGTTCATATTTGATTACTGTCTATGTTGTCTGTTTTTACAATTAACATGCTACTCTGTTTTTAATAGACAGGGTTTGAAGATTATATTTATTTATTTATTTTTGTGAGGAAGACCAGCCCTGAGCTAACATCCCTGCCAATCCTCTTTTTTGCTGAGGGAGACTAACCCTGAGCTAACATCCATGCCCATCTTCCTCCACTTTATGTGGGATGCCTCCACAGCATGGCCTGACAAGTGGTGCCTTGGTGCATGCCCGGGATCCGAATCCGGACCACCAGCAGCAGAGTGTGTGCGCTTAACCACTATGCCACAGGACTGGCCCCTGAAGATTTTATTGTTTTTTTTTTTATCTCTTTTTTTTGGGGGGGGAGATCAGTCCTGTGCTGACATCCGCCAATCCTCTTTTTTTGCTGAGGAAGACTGGCCCTGGGCTAACATCC